ATCATATAATAATTGCTGTTAATAGTGTTCATCGTCTGTTTGATTACGTCTTTAATTGATTTTTCCGTACATTTCTGCAATATATACATTAACTGACAGTCACCACTGATAAGCTACTACTAAATATATTGTAGAAACTTAATTTTCTGTAAAGTTGCTTTCAACGATTTGTATCGTGAAAAGCGCTATACAAATAAACTTGAATTGAATTGAATTTCGCTAAACGGCATTTTAAAAAAGTCACACTGTATACTGCAGCATTGTATGTTTGCCATATTTACTTTTCTTTTTTCCTTTTTTTTTTTTTTTCTGTGAATTACTTCTAGAAAATCCGGCAGTGAATGTTTCTCTGCAAACAAAACTTCTTTTGAGGTCTTGAAATGAATCTACAGGTGATCATTGAGCTTTTCATAATCTACTTGCCATTCATAAGGCCCATATATCTGCATGTCATCTTGGAGTGTTGTCCTCTAAAGCTGACACAATAGTCAATGTTATCGCCAGAGAGGGGTAGGTATTTTGCTTTGAAGAAGAGTAGCATTTTCATACACAGTATAGATGACTTGTTTTACATTCTCTGCAAGTCTCAAGGCCTTTAGGCATGGATACTTTCTTACTGTGCCTTGAAGTGATTCCTGACCTTGAGGGAATCTGCTATAGCCCGCCTCCAGCTATTCTCCATGAACAAGCCCACCCACAGGAGAGATGTGTATCTGATCTCCAGTGTTGGGGAGTAACTAGTTACATGTAACGGCGTTACGTAATTTAATTACATGCTGACGGAATATGCCACATTTTGGAAGAATAAATGAAAAGTAGGTCAGTGCACTTGAATATGGACTAGTGTCTGTGAATATTAAGCCGCGAAAAGACAATATATGAATCCTGCACGTTCTGTGTGTCTGTGGAAATCAGGCGCGGACTGGCCATCGGGAGAACCGGGACAATACCCGGTGGCCTCGCAGCCGATTTGGCCCACTATTTTAATATTAATATTGCATAATTGCCTGCCGAATGTACTAAAGCAATTATTTCCGAATTCGCCATTTGATAATTAAATCTCTAATAAATCATGAATCGGTTAGTTGTGATTGGCAATGCTTCGGCTCGCGCGCTCTCCGCGCCTCCGCTAAACGATTTGGATCAGAATAATCAATGCGAGAGAGAGAATGGAGTTGACTGTGGAAGCGTACAGGTGGACCAGAGAAGCAAAACTACTGTTCAGGGTTTCAAGGTCAGGTCAGTTTCATCTGTAAATATGCTATTGTAGTTTTGTCTTTGTTTACATAGTTAAGCAGCAGCAGCCCATTGCTCATCAAAATTTAGAAAAGTAATCAAAAAGTAATCAAAAGTAATCAGTTACATTACTTTAATAAAGTAATAGGGTAACTTGTAATCTGTAACATTCTGAAATAAATTATTTCTCTAGTTCATGTTGGCCACAATTATTGCCACCCAATTATTACAATGTCCTTTTCCCAAGATAACAGCTCTGACTTTTCTCCTGTAATGTCTGAAGAGTTTGGAAAAAACCTGATTAGAGATCAGAGACAATTCCTTTATACAGTATCTCTCCAGATTCTTCAGATTCACAGCTCCATGTTGATGCTTCTTCTCTTCAGTTCACCCCACTCATTTTCTATAGGGTTCAGGTCAGAAGACTGGGACCACCATGGCAAAAGCTTCATTTTGTGCTCAGTAACCAGTTTTTTTGTGTTGATATTGATGTTTGTTTTGGAATATTGTCCTGATTGGAAGATCTAACCATGGCCCATTATAAGATTTCTAACAGATGCAGTCAGGTTTAGATCTGTTGGTATTTGATAGAGTCCATGCTACCATGCATCTGAACAACATGTCAAGGACCTCCGGCAGAAAAACAGGCCCACAACATTAAAGATCCAGAAGTATATTTAACCATGGACATGGGGGACATTTTATCCCTGTTTGTACTAAACCCATCTGGTGGGGTTGCTGACAAAAAGCTCTTTTTTTTTTGTTTCATCTGACCATAGAAGCCAGTGCCATTTGAAGTTCCAGTCGTGTCTGACAACTGAATATGCAGGAGTTTGTTTTTGGATGAGCAATGAGAATTATTCTTGAAATTCTATCGAACAACATGTGGTGATGTAGGGGCTGTTTGATATTTATTTATTTGTTTGTTTGTTTTTAGGCTTTCTGACCCCAAGACTCAACTAATCTCTGCAATTCTCCAGCTGTGATCCTTGAAAAGTCTTTGGTCACTCAAACTCTCCTCCTCACAATGTATTAGGACCATATAGACACACGTCCCCTTCCAGGCAGATTTGTAACATCTTTAGTTGATTGGAACCTCTTAATTATTGCCCTGATGGTGGAAATGTGGATTTTCAATGCTTTAACTCTTTTCTTACAGCCACTTTCTATTGTGTGAAGCTCAACAATCTTGTTCTGCACTTTAGAACTATATTCTTTGGTTTTACTCATTGTGATAGATAATTAATGGAATTTGGCCTTTGTGGTCCTCATATTTATAATCCTGTAGAACTGGAAGTCATGGCTGGACAGTTTCATGCTCATAGTCACCCTGGTGTGCTAAAAAATGTAAATATGAATGGGAATATACTTCAGAGATATTTTACTCATAAGAATTTCTAAGGTTGCCAATAATTGTGGACAACATGCATCGGAGAAAAACATTTATTTCATCATGAGATATTCTCCCCACTTTCAATTGTAAGTGTGGACAACATGCATCGGAGAAAAACATCTATTTCATCATGAGATATTCTCCCCACTTTCAATTGTTTTACTTCCATGAAAGGTTAGAATTTTTGTGATTTTTTTTTAATGAAAGATCAAAAAGGTAAAAAATGCAGATTTATGTTCACAGCCGCCTTTTCTCATATTTACCAAGGGTGCCAATATTAGTGGAGGGCACTGTATATAAAAGAGAAGACAGTTATTTTAAATTGCAATAACATTTTACATTTTTACTGTATTTTTTATTAAATAAATGCAGCTTTGGTAAGTATAAGAAACTTCGTCACAAACTTTTGAAGGTAGTGATAGGATAGGAAGTGATAGGAAGCAGTGCTGCTCATATTTCACATATGCTTTTGTCTCATACAATTTTACAAATGTACAAATTACAATTTTGAAAACAAAACAAAATTTTGAAAATACTAAGAAAATGTTTTTAACTATTGACTTTCTTGTCATTGTCTTGGTGTCTACAGTAATTCAGCAATGAACATGAATGTATCACGTGAATACACAGCACAAATTCATTAAATTAACCAAATCATATTTGTCCCCCTAAATCTGAGGTGAGGTGTACCAAGCTAAAAACTGTTTATTTTATTGGAATAAAACACCAGCAGAGAGCCCTGTGTTGCCTTCTCCTGGAGACTAGGTACAAAGCCATCCACTGTTGCTATCACAACCTACATGTGGGCAACAAATCTTATACCTCCCAGAGCAACCATCAAGCCAAATGGTAGCACTCCATCCTTTGGGACTGAGATAGACCCTTTTAGGAGCACTTTAGCCTCCTAGGAAGCACTGCAATTTGAGAGCATCTTCACAGGAAATATTTGAGCAGTATGTACACTCATAAAGCACCCAAGCCTGTTGGTCATGGCCCTTTTGGTGTCAAAAAGTTTTTAAGGTTTCATTCAGATCATTCTTTAGACCAGGAGCACTCAAGTTCAGTGGCCAAGGGTGCCACATTTAAACCACATAATATGTGAAGGGCCACAAATTACAATTTGCATTATACGACTTTAAGATAATAATTGCAGTTTACCCATATAGAAATGCATTTTATTTCTTGTCCGATTTAAAATAATATTGGACATGAAAATAAAACATTACAAAATCTTGGAACAAAAAGTGAATTAACAGTTTGTTTAATGCAAAAAAACAAAAATTAATTCATACTCAAACAGAGTATTAAACAAACCCAGATTGTTCAAACTCAAAACATTCTTGAGCAAATATAGCTCACAAATTTCTTTATAGCCTATTATTTTTCCTATTCATGCCCAAACAGGACTGAGTATGCATTATTGAGAGCTAAATACATGTAATGTCTGTTTCATTCATGCTGGACACCAGAGGGCGCCCTCAGAAACTCCACATACTGTAATCATCACAGAAGTAATCGAACGTTTAAGGAAATCCATAATACGGAAAAATACATGCAGCTGTCACTGTAACTGAATAAAAAGAAGATAGAAATGCTTTAACCGATCAAATGTGAAGACAATAAACAAACAAATTGACAATATATGGTTTATCTGTGTTCTTCAAGCCATCTCTGGTATAGTGCAAAACTCTGTGAGCTCATTGGCGTGATGACAGCTCCATTCATTGTAATGGGCTTTAACCCATTCACAATTTGAATACAAGTTTGTTTTTCACGCTACTAAGAGGACCATCTGCTATTTGCACAATTCAGTGTCAGGAGTATCAACTGCATTTAAATGACACAAACCTAAAATCACACTGCCTAATATTTGTGCAACTTTTGAGTGCAAATTATAATAAAAATACATTAATCTCCAGCATGACAAGGGCCACAAAATTAATGCAGACAGGTCGAATGCAGCCCGCGAGTCACCTGGTGAGTACCCCGGCTTAGACCGTACAAGAGAAAAAATAAATAAATTCCCTGATGTATGATAATGCACTTATAATAAGCTCTAGGTGTAGTTTACAATGTATATGCTTTGTAATTGTAATTAGCATTATCATTCCAAGAAGCACCTCCACTTCTTGCCTAAGTCTGTTGATCGGAACTGAGGTTGTAACCCATGATGTACTGGTTTCAGTTGCTTCAACAAAGCCTAGTGAAAAGGTTTTGGTGACTCAACTTTTGGCCACCTTCTCAGGGACACAGCCAGACTATATGGATCAATACTGGAGCTTCACAGATTATGTCCATTGATTTTTGCATGCAGACTTACTGCTTCGTTCAGAGCATAACTGAGATTGTACATGTCGGAATGTGTTTGCAGGAGCTGAGGGTGCAGTGTTCAGCAACTCGGTGGAGACCCCACATGTGAGAGCTGAGCCCTTCAAAGAGTTACGGTAAGACAGTTTGACGTATATAATGTCATTGTTAAATTCTGGATTCTAATTGGATGTTCCAAGATATTTTAATTTTCTTGAACTACATAAACTATACATTTGTTTATAGTAAGTAAGTAAGTAAGTAAGTTTTATTTATAGAGCACATTTAAAATTCAGCGTTACACTGACCAAAGTGCTGAACAAAACCAATAATAAAACACAGTAAATTCTAAAATAAAGTAAAATTTAAAAAACAATAATACCATTTTTTTTAATATCGGCAATAACAACAGTTTCACATTCAATTAATAGCCCGGAAAGGCGAGAGAGTAAAAATGTGTCTTAAGTCTGGACTTGAAAATAGAAACAGAAGAAGCACTCCTAATGTCAGGTGGCAACTGATTCCACAAACGTGGAGCAGCGACTGCAAAGGCTCTGTCTCCTTTTAATTTAAGTCGTGACCGAGGAACATGTAATAGAGCTTTATTAGCGGATCTGAGAGACTTCGGCGTTGAATGCAAATAAATAAGATCAGAAATATAAGATGGGGCTTGTCCATTAAGAGCTTTGAAAACAATAAGTAAAATCTTAAACTGAATTATAAAAAAGACAAGAAGCCAATGAAGGGATGCTAAAACTGGAGAAATATGTTTTTTGGTGCCGGTGAACAATCTAGCCGCCGCGTTCTGAACCATCTGCAGCCGTGCCAATGAAGATTGTGGAAGACCAACATATAACGAATTACAATAATCCAGGCGTGATGTGATAAAAGCATGAATTACTTTTTCCAGATCTTGAAAGGAAAGTGTTGATTTAAGCTTTGAGATGATCCTCAGCTGATAATAACTATTTTTAACAACTGAGCTAATTTGTTTTTCAAGACAAAGCTCAGAGTCAAAGATAACACCTAGATTTTTTACATGAGACTTAACATATGGAGTGAGGTTTTCTAAGTTCCCAGCAACAGAATTTCTAGTTTTAGAGGGACCAAAGAGAATCACCTCAGTTTTATCATTGTTGAGCTGCAGGAAGTTATTTGACATCCAGCATTTTATATCCTCAAGACAGTCGATGAGAGGCTGCAGAGAATCTCGAGATTTTAATGGAAGATACAGCTGAGAATCATCTGCATAAAAATGAAAAGAGATTTTATATTTCCTTATGATATTACCAAGTGGAAGCATATACAGATTAAAGAGTAATGGACCCAAAATGGACCCCTGAGGGACCCCATAAAGAAGAGAGGCAGATGATGAGATAAACTGGCCAACAGACACTGCAAATGACCTGGATTTCAGATACGACCCAAACCAGCTAAGTGCTGTACCCTTTATGCCCACCCAATGTTCAAGGCATGACAGAAGGATATTATGATCAACTGTATCAAAGGCAGCACTAAGATCCAGCGAATAAACGCGGCTGAGGGAAGAGAGAACAAGGAGTAACAATAATCCTGTACAATGGGACAGTCTCTAGGTTGATTCTCTAACAAACTTTTGATGTGTAGCAATACTTGGCGATCATAGGTGATGATAGCATCAGCACAATGCATTAACAACAGCAGAGAAAGCACCGAAAGGCAGAGTACTGAATGGATATTTAAAAACTGACGAGACAAACGGCATGCCGACCAACACACAGGTGCCATCTTTTATCTTTTTCTCTGACCCGGGTTGAGAACTCACTCACACTCGTGTTCTTTTATACCACATTGCTGGTCAATATTGTTTTTCTTTTTTATGAATTGTTCCCAATTTTAAAATAAACTGAGCTTTAAAGAGTCATACATGTAGCCAAAGAAACAGAAAATGGCAAGAAACTAAATATATAAATAAATAGGGCAGTCATGGCCTAATGGTTAGAGAGCTGAACTTGTAACCTGAAGGGCATGGGTTTGAGTCTCAGTACTGGCAGGAATTGTCAGTGGGGGGATTGATAGACCAGTGCTCTATTCCACTTTCAGTAACCATGAATGAGGTGCCCTTGAGCCAGGTACCGAACCCCCATTCGCTCCTTGGGTGCTACGGCAAAAAAACTCTGTGTGTGTTCACTACTGTGTGTGTGCACTTGGATGGGTGAAATGCAGAGCACAAATTTTAAGTATGGGACACCATCCTTGGCCACCTGTCAGGTCACTTTCAAATTTATCTTGTTTTTTAGTAAAACAAGATACTTGAATATATATATATAGTTTAATTTAATTTAGAATGTTTATAATGTAGAAAGTTTCAGTTTCTACACTATAAATTGAACACAATTCTGTGACATTTGGTTAACAGAGAAAAAAACAACTTCAATATATTATCTGAAAACAAATCTTAATATCTTATGTTGGTAACTAAGTTATGATAATTATCCTCAGGTTATGGCTGATAAATTCTAATTGGCTGATATTACATTTTTATCCTGTTTTGTTTAAATTATTATTAAACATCCAATATTGAAATTCTAATATTGGCATCTGACCAACATGATTCTGATCACAAATGCTTATTTTAGATTTTTTTTTTTTTTTATTATTATTACCGAGAAAAAAAATCTAAATGAAAACAATATTTTGCAGTGTTTGTCTGTTCGTGCTTGAATCTAAATCCATAGCACTGATGGAAGTTTAAATAAAGATTTTTTTCTTCTTCTTTGAAATACACTGTTTACAGAGCTGCATCTGCTAGCATTATCCAAATCATTAACAGCCACACTATCAAGCTGCATAGGGAGATGATTGCACGTCGATTGCAATTTCCCACATATGGTGTAATGATCAAAGATTGCAGGGAAAAAAATGATTATTTTCCAGCTAGCACTACACATGTCTCTGTTGAGGGCTACAAAGGAAGGAAATAAAGCATGACATTTGTGCAAATTCCACTTATCCCTAAATTTAGGTTTTTACTGTGCGTCTGGATGACAGCAGATTATAGAGCACCTCTGTAAGCTGTTTCAGACAGCAGAGGGGAAGGGTGGGCACAATTCAGATTACCTCCTTTTAAATGCATCACTAACGGTTGTAAATACATTCACAAGGAAATAGGAAGAGGAAATTTGGAAACATATCCTACACTGCTTATAAAAGAAACACTCAAATGGATCTTTGTTACAGGCAGTTGTCATTATATTTCAATACATTTTCTATCATCTGCATTCAAGGTACTCGTAAAAAAAAACAGGACATCAATGCTCTGTGATTTTAATAGCTCACGATTGCTTTGAATGTACTTTATGTTCTTTTCAAAGCTATCGAATATAGTCATACTACCGTCTAAATTCAGACAAATGTTCCCTATTATTGCAGGCTTGCAGAATGCAATCAGATACATCGTTGCACAGTTATTATTGGTCAGTGTTATGGCAGGAAAAGATAAGAGTTATACATTAGACTGATGTCATTGTTGTGTAATAATGGTAAAATTCCAACCTTCTCCACCCTGCTTCATCCGAATATCAGGCTGTGCATTATGAGACTTCTTGAGGGAATTATCACTCTTGCTGTTTGCTCTGAAAGCGAGCAATCACAGCCAATTTAAGTGTTATCTTCTGCCTTTTTAGATTCCAAATATCACAACAAAATATGTCCCTGGTTTGTATGTAGTATCTGAGGCCTATTTGGAGAAAGTGCTGGCACTGTAAAGCACAGTTTACCCATGGTGAACCTACTCATTAGAACCAGGGCTTGATCCAAGCAATGTTGTATACGTGCAGACAAAAGAAGATCAATGTGCGATTAGCTGGCACCTCCTTCTCTAGGACAGGCATGCTTTCCTGTCCTGATTGATGCCTGGATGCTCATCAAAATCTAATTAAAATAGATTCTCATTAACTACAACAAACACATGAAGCGCAATGCCAATACCCCAAGCAGAAGGCGGACATGAATGGTAGAGCATTGGCAACTGGGTCAGATATGGCAGGGAATGCACATTTAGCAGGAAATAATTAGCAATAAATGGCCTGTGGGGAGAACGGTCTGTGTGAACACACACAAACACATTACTGGCCCAGTTCTATGTGTTCTGCTGATGGAGCAAGCAAAGTAAAGGCACCCGCACAGACAGGTGTTCTGGCTTATCAAACCTTCTGTGATAAACAAGGACAACACATCGACAATCATCAATCAAAATTAGGGGAAACTCTAAAGCCCCCGATATACTGCAAATGAAATTGAAGAACGAAATGATATTATGTAATTTTCGGCAGTTCGAAACAGCTGACCAAAGCGAACTTTCTGGGGGAGTTCGTTTTGGCTCCTAAACACCTTTGAGCTTCCATTGGTCCATGGCGATTACACAATCAGTGGGTGGGTGCGGTAATTCCACCATATTTGACATGAGATTTTTTGCTCGCATATCTCCAACAACGGAAGGTTTTTTTTTTTTTTTTAATCAAATTGTTATTGTTTTGACATTGTTTAATATACAGAATAGCACAGACAACCTAATATACTCCAAAATATACAAAGTACAAAGACTACACATATACAAAAGATTATGTAAAAATAAATATATACCCATACAAAATTCTTGACATACAAACAAGTGGAATAGTGCTGAAAGAAGTCTACGTCAATAGAAAATGAGCCAATTATAACCCAAACAGGGAACCTTAAACACGACTCTAAATCAATATATATGAAAAAATATATATATAAAATAATACAAAAATTAAAAAAAAAAAAAAAAAAACCCCAAAACCAAAAAAGACCAGAAAGTGTGTATTTGGGAGGGGGGTCTCCTTAATTCAAGTTAATAAACCTTTAAGCTTCTCTAAAGTATGAGCCCAAAGTCTAGTGGTGTCCTCTCTGGTGCCATGAAGGCGAGCAGTGGACAGTTCAAGATACACAACGTCTATAAAAGTGAGAACCCAGTATTGCTTATTAATAGAATGTGGAGGCTTCCATCTCGTTGCAACAATTTTCTTGGCCGCTGTCAAGCTAGTTAAAAAGACTCGCTTCTGCATTTTGTTAAGTTGGATGTCAGAAAGATCATTTAAAACAAAGACAGAAGGGGACAAAGGGATCGAGACATTTAATATAATGGACAGATTTTCTTTAACCATATTCCAAAAACTGGCAACCCCAGGGCAATCCCAAATCATGTGAAAAAAAGTACAGATTTCCCTAGTATGACACAGCGTGCAATTTGGATCGGGTTTAAGTTCCATGCTATAGAGTTTATGTGGAGTCATATAAGTCCTGTTAATAAAGTTTAAATGGATTTGTTGATGATCCGGATTCCACGAAGCATACATTGCCATAACCCAGACTCCGTCCCAATCAAAACTGGGAGAAAGGTCCCGCCAAGCAGAGTCTAATGTCAAAGGAGGGTAAATTTTTTCCAGAAAATAACCATATAATTTAGAAACAAATCCTCTTGTTCCCGGAGTCTCACATATTACTTTCAATAAAGGGTGCTCTTTGAGAGGAGCCATCCAAGGGACCCCATAGGCCTTCATGGCTGCCCTCAACTGTAAGTAAAAAAAAAAAGGTGGAGCTTTGCAGGTTAAACTGAATAGAAAGTTCTTCAAAGGTATAAAGGCCCTTGTCGCCCATTATATCACCCAAGGAGTGAATCCCCTTGTCATACCACTGTCAACACTGGCCGAACTTAATTGGTGCTTGCCAATTAACAAGCCATTATTATTCAAAATAGGAGAGTAGGGATTCCAATTAGAATGAATGTCACAAACTTTTTCTACTGCTCTCCAGACCGACAGAACGTGTGACACTAAGGGACCGAAACTGAGTTTGCACTTATTTAGAGGGATATTAGCAAATAAAACTTCATCCAACTTTAAAGGGAGAACGTCTCAGGTTACTTATGTAACCATGGTTCCCTGAGTAGGGAACGAGACACTGCATCCTCTAGGGGTCGCTATGGGGAACGCCTCGTCGTGACCCGTGTCTGAAGCATACATTGAAAAAACACCAACTCGTTGGCCGGCGACAGCCGTATGCTTCAGACACGGGTCACGACGAGGCGTTCCCCATAGCGACCCCTAGAGGACGCAGTTCGAAGTTCCCATGAAAGGGAACCAGATTTTCCTCCAGCGAACGCCAAGAAACTTCAATTTTGTCATCATACCAGTTAACTAGGGGACGAAGTGTAAAAGTCCAGTGATATAGCTTAAAATTGGGAAGTGAAAGACCACCAGAGAATCTATCATGTTGCATCGTGGAAAGTTTAAGACGAGGTCGTTTGCCATTCCAGACAAATTTGGTAATTATGCTTTGTAATCTATCCCAAAAACGAGAAGGGGGAGGCAGAGGCAGCATAGAGCTCACAAAGTTGACTCGAGGGAGTACATTCATTTTAATAATTGAGACACGTGACCTAAGATAATTTGGGAGTGATGACCAATTTTCCAAGTTACATGAAATCGTAGACAGTATGTCCTCATAATTGGTCTTAATTATATACTGCAGTGAAGCACCAATCATAACACCGAAATACCTACATTGTTTAAACACTGGTATCCCTGAGGGTAATGCTATGTTTCTCATTGCGTCATTCAGTGGAAGAAGATCCAACTTTATCCAGTTTATTGAAAATCTCACCAAAGCTGTCAAAGATAGTTCAAATGTTAGGTATGGACTGCAAAGGATTACCTAAATAAAGAAGGACATCATCCGCATATAACGAAATATAATGAATGGTCCCACATATTGAGATCGGGGTGATGCCTTTGTCCATACATATAGTCTGTGTCAGCGGCTCGAGGGATAGCGCGAAAAGAAACGGACTTAGGGGGCATCCCTGTCGAGATCCTCTAGCTATATCAAACAAAGAAGAACAAGTAGTGCTTGTCAGCACCATGTCTGTGGGATTCGCATAAAGTACCTTAATCATATGAATATAAGAGGACCCCAGAGCCATGACCTCCAACACAGACCACAGATAAGACCATTCCAGACAATCAAAGGCTTTCATAGCATCTAGAGAGAGGACAGCGGTAGAAAGAGTCAAAGAGGATATACCATGTATAATATGGAGTAATCTTCTAACATTATTAGATGCTAACCTAGTTCTGATAAAGCCTGTCTGGTCGCAGTTGATGAGCTTGGTCATAAAAGGCTGAAGCCTCCGTGCAAGTAATTTAGCATCAATTTTCAGGTCAGCATTTAGCAGGGACAAAGGTCTATAACTTTCAGCAAAAGCGAATGTTTTTGAGCAAAAGCAAAATAACTGCAATATTCATATCTCTGGAGAAAGACCCTCTGTCTACAGCAGCTTGAATCATATCGAAAAGTAGAGGGCCCAGACTGTCCCAAAAGGTTATGTAAAATTCTGGGGGAATTCCATCCAACCCTGGGGATTTGCCACTACACATAGCCAAAGCGGCCTCCGTAACCTCCCAGGGTCGACGGTGGCGCCGGCGCCACCACGTGCATGTTTTACTGATAAGAGCAAAAAGAACTTAAAATGCTCGTTCATTTTTGTTTGTACACATAAGAGTAATACACCATTCGAATCTGTAAAGGGTCTACTTCTATTTGTGTACACTCACAATATCAACAAAACATTGTGCTTTTGCAAAATAAAGAAAATATACAGGGTGTGCTTTTAGCCGTCTCATTCTCCATGCATATCTGTTTGAAACGCGTCACTAAAATGAACTGAAACTCAGCGAATATTTGACACACACACATGAGAGACATATCTATAGAAAGCTTAACATGTCTACTTTTAAACGAAGTAAGTCATGACGAAAACAAATATTATGTGACAAAGTAATCAGTATGAAACCAACGCGATGTCAAGTCTTGGCCGTCGCCCTCATTATCGCTAATGTGACCACTCCCACGCGCCAATCGTGCTTTTGATATTACAATCGTCCACGTGAAACACGCGCATGTAAACGCCCACATCACAGCAAACAAAGCAGCGACGTTTCCTCAAAGTTCATCTCGGCTACTTCGCTTCTGGAAGAAGACGCGCTGAGAGAAATAAGCTTTGGATTTCCCTCAGAAGAACGCGCTCATCTAAAGTCATAGGGGCATCTAATCTTAGAGAGTGCTCCTCAGACAGTTTAAGAAGTGGCATTTTGTTTAGAAAATTACCACAAGCATCCTGGTTATGCAATACCTCTGAGCTATATAATTCAACATAAAAACTGTGGAAAGTAGCATTCATTTGTGAGGGTTCATTAAGAATTACTCCATCTTTTGACTTGATTGCACTAATATCTGTAACATTTTCATTGGACCGCAATCTATGGGCAAGTAAACGACTGTGTCTAGCCCCATTAAAATAATACAACTGCCGTGTCCTATGAATTAAAAATTCAGCATGCTGCTTCATAATGGCATTTAACTCTTTTTTCACAAGGTCAAACTGAAGCCTTACCTCTTCATCATAACTTTGTTGTAATAGAGCATCTAAGGGTGAAAGTTCAAGTTCAAGTTGAGCTTTATTGTCATTCTGCTGCATGTGGGGACATACAGTGGAACGAAATGTCGTGCCTCACAGGACCACGGTGTTACATAAATACAGGCATACAACAATGAAGTATAACAGTAAAAACCTATACAGTAAAGCAGTAAAAACCTATACACAACTAACCTACTGACTGATTTTGATTATAAATATACTATATATATATATATATAAATGTTTACCTATACATAAGTAAAAAAAAAAATACGGACTATACGGATGCTTCACATAAACGCTGTACCTATACACAGCTAACCTACTGACAGATTTTGACTATGAATATACTATATATATGTTGATTTTTTGAGCATACGACCGTTTTGCATTTTTGATGCCACAGGACAGATTGGCTCTTGCTGTTTTGAGGGCTGCTTTATCTCCTGATCTGAATGCTTCATCTCTGGTCTTTAGCAGCCCACGAACCTCTGCTGTCATCCACGGCTTTTGGTTTGCACGTGTGGTGATGGTCTTGGTGACTGTCACATCATCAATGCACTTTTTGATGTAAGCACTCACAGTTTCAGTGTACTCCTGCAGGTCTGTGTGGTTGTTGTAGGTGGCTGCCTCTTTAAACATGTTCCAGTCTGTGCACTGAAAGCAGTCCTGTAGAGTTGAGGTAGCATCATCTGGCCAAACTGTGATGAGTTTTTGAACTGGTTTGGCGAGTTTCAGAAGTGGTCTGTATGCTGGAATTAGCATAACAGAGATGTGATCCGAGTACCCTAGGTGGGGGCGGGGTACAGCCTTGTACGCGTTCTTTTCTGTTGTGTAAACAAAGTCCAGTGTGTTTTTTCCCCTTGTTGCAAAGTTCACATGTTGGTAGAACTTTGGCAACACTGTCTTTAAGTTTGCGTGGTTGAAGTCACCGGCTATTATGAAAAAGCCGTCAGGGTTATTGGTTTGTTGTTCGCTGATGGCGATGTACAGCTCGCGAAGCGCGTCTTTAGCGTTTGCACACGGGGGGATGTAAACTGCGACAATAACAATGGCCGTGAACTCCCGCGGCAGATAGAACGGTCGACACTTCACAAACATAAACTCCACCAGCCAAAGTCCAAAGTTTAGACTCTAACACCTGTAATCGAGATGAATGAGCCTTTCTTATGCTGGAAGCGTAGCATACAGTAAAATTCCCAATAAACCCCTTAACAGCATCCCAGAGTATCCTTGGATCATCAACAGAACCTTAATTTATATTGACAAAGTCTTTTAGTTGACTTGAGAACTTAATCTTGAATGCTTCATCTCGGAGAAGCGTGGTGTTGAAACGCCATCTAGGAGCTCGAGCTGGGTTAGAGCTTATCAAAACAGAAGCCGTTACTGCCTTGTGATCGGAAAATGCCACTGGCGATAAACTAACATTAACAATATTATGAAATAAGCCTCTAGAAGAAAAAATAAAGTCGATTCGAGAAAAAGATTTGTGTCTAGATGATAAATGGGTGTAGTCTTTAGCATCAGGGTTTAATATACGCCAAAGATCCATCACCCCGGTATCTTTAATCCAAGACCATAAAGCCTCAGAAGCATATTTTTGATCTACATTTTCTGAGTGTCCTGACCTATCAACTGAACAGTCAACAACAGCATTAAAATCAGCACATATGATTCATTTGAAGCCAGAAAGTTCTAGAAGTAATTTAGTGATTTGTTTGTAAAATTCTCTTTCACAAGTATTAGGAGCATAAATAGAGATCAAGGCAATATCTCTATTTTCTATATGAACTTTCACAATTGTTATTCTGCCATTGCTATCTGCCCAGGTATCCTAGAGCTTCAGGCGCAAATTACGCTGACATATAATCATCACCCCTTTAGATTTATTTGAAGCTGACGAGGAAGCAAGAACACGGAAAAAGCAATTAGACATACAATTTGTATCTCTATTGACCAAATTAGTCTCTTGTAAAAAGGCTATATTTATTCTTTGTTTCCGCAAAAAGTCCAAAATGAAAAGCTAGGATCTGTTTAAACATTCAAGAACACAGAGAAAAAATATACACCTGCTGAATATCCTAGCTTAAATCAAAAACCAAAAGCTTCACGGCAAACTAAGGTTTAAACATGAGAAAACTCTCCCATTTCTTTTACCAAACACCCGTCAGATAAAATGTATTTTAGAAAGACGCCAAACACTCAATGAAAAATTAAAGATAAAAGAGTTCACATACTACTGTCCATATACTCTTTGGCATCTTTCAGATCTCTGAACGTTTTCTGAATGTACAATTCACCTTGAAGACCAACACGGCAGGGAAGTTCATTTGGAAATGGATGCCACGCTTAATAAGTTCAGCGCAAATCGGGTTGAAGGCTCTCCTCGCGGCACGAACTGCTGGAGAGATGTCAGGAGCGATGCGGAGAAGCTGATCCTCGTATTTAAGTTGGCCTTTGCATCTAGCTGCAGACATATTTGTAGCGACGTCTCTGGAGCAATGAACCTTGATGATAACAGGACGAGGATGGCCATCTGTAGTCGTGCCAAACCCTCGGTGTGCGCGGTCAAGTGCAATACTCAAGACTGGCAGTTTGAGCAATTTTGGTATAAAAGTTTAAAAAAAATGTAAGGGATCACTTCCTTCGACGGACTCTCTGCGGTTTAAAATTCGAATATTGTCCCATCTGGAATGCCCCTCCAGATCTGTGATCTTCTCAGTAAGTGTTGTATTAAGTTTCTCGAGTGCAGCCAGCTTCTTTTTTAGCGGAGCGACGTCATCTTCTATGGCGGAGATACGAGTTTCTGTTTCGGCCTGGCGAGTCGCAAAGAGCGGCAGCGACCTCCTCGATGCGTTTGATGATACTTTCAACTTTCACGTCCAGCCCAGACTCCAGTTTAGCGAAAGAGTCATTCAGCATCTTTTGCGTACGCCGCCCTTCTTCTGCAACAACTTCGGCAAG